AAAGAAAAGAAATTGTACCCTTGAGAACATTTGGCCTCTGCATTTGGTGCCCCTCCCCTTTTGTTGAGAGTGTCTCAACTATAGCCCAGGCTGTCCTTGAACTCATGGTGAGCCTCCTGCCTCTGCCTCCCAAGTTCTGGGATTACAGGGGTATACCAACACACCTGCATTTAGTTATTTCAAATTTTTCATTACTGAGTCTATTCCATCAAACAGACTTAATTTCATGCATTCTTGTAATAAATTGGTTACTCCATCCTCATAACTGGTTGGTGCCCCCCACCCCAGTTCTGTATACTTAGTATTGGCCTTCTGCCTCTGGACTCTCAGCCAGGTTTTCTTTTAACATTGTGTCAGGTTATTTGCACTGACGTATTTGAGGTTCTAATACTGATCTAACTCCTGTCTTCACAGCCTGACCCTGTCTTTTTGTTTTGTTTGTTCTGAGATAGGGTCTCACTGATTTTTCTGTGCAGTAGGGACCCTACCTGAGCTGCTGTGTGAGTGAGCTAAAGATCAGGTTGGATATTTGTATCTAGCTACTCCCATCTGACAAGGCCACACTTTCCACTGGTGTTTTTTAATCCCCAGGACAAAAAGTCAGGCAGTTTGTGTGCCAGTAGAAGTTTTCCATCAGAACAGAGTCTGAGCACAGCTGAGTGTGTTGTACCCGTGTGATCCTTGTGAGGCAGGAGGGCCTCAAGGTAAAAGCCAATGTGGGCCACTTAGTCAGGTAAGACCCTGTCTGAAAAACGGCTGGAGTTCCTGGGGGGGGGTGGCACACACCTGTAAGGGTCACAAGTTCTAGGCCACCCTAAGCAGTTTTTTGTGTGTGTGTGTATTTTTTTTTTTTTTTTTTGAGCAAAACACTTACTGGCACATTTTAGATACACATCATAACATTCCGGCCTAACCAATTCAATAGATTATCTCAAAATAAAGGGATAGGGATGTAGCTCATTGGTCTCTAGGTTCCAACCCCAATATCATACACACATGAAAACAACTGTCATTCTTAACAGCATGGTGGTGTGGTACAAGCTGGAAATCCCAGTACTATGGTAAGCTGAGACAGGAGGGTTGAATCTGAGCCCAGTGCGGTCAACCCCATGGGTTGGGGACAGAACTGGTTCTGAAGTCCCTGGGGATGTGTGTAGTTCATTGTGTGTGGGAACCTTCCTCCAGAGTTCTGAGAATTGAAACAAAACTAAAACATGTTAGGGTATTGATAGTACATAACAGCTGCTCACAAAGGTCATCATAAACCTTTCCCGCTAGGAGATGTCTTTGGGGTTCCACCTACTTCATTCCCCCAATGAAGAGAAGCCTTTCCCTTGAAAGGTTGAGTTGACGTGTACAGTATAAGCAGGGTGGTCCTCCGGTTTTCATAACACATTTTTGATTTAGGTTCCCGTCCTGTCGTAACTTGACCTCGTTTTTAAACTGGAAAAGTTTTAAGACAGGATCTCACTGTGTGTTCCCAACTGGCCTGAAACTTGTGGCAGTCCTCCTGACTCACTCAACCTCCCAACTGTTGGGGTTACAGGCATGTACCATCACTTGGCACTTTTTTTTTTTTTTTTACTAGGCTCTTAGAAGAAGGGTCTTGATTTATAGCCCAGGCTGGCCTCATACTTTGTGTCAGCTTCCCAAGTACTGGTGATATGTACTGAGCTCACATTTCCGCAAGGGCCAAATGAGATCTGGGTATGTAGGTCAGTAGCACTGTGCCTGCATGGCAGTCACAAGGTCCTGAGTTTGATCCCCGGGACTGGAAAAAAAGTCAAAGAATGAAGTTACAAGCTGGGCAGTGTGGCGCATGCCTGTAATCCCAGCACTTGGGGGGCTGAGGAAGGAGGACTGATCTGAGTTTGAGACCAGCCTGAAATACAGCAAAACCCTGTCTCAAAAACCAAAAAAAAGAATGAAGTCACAGACCAAAGGAAGAGATTAGGATTGTTTTTACTGGAAATTATAAAGGGTGGCCACATACCCCTCTCAACCCAGAGCCTGAATTACAAAGTGAGACCTTGTCTCAAAAAAAAAAAAAGACTGTAACTGCATAAGCTGAATACTTCACTGGGATTACAGATGGGAGCACCCCTGTCTGCCTGATAAAACAAAATGTGGGGTTGGGATTTAGTTCAGTGGTTCCGCCACCAGCCTCGTAAGTGCGAGGTCCCGAGTTCAATCCCCGATCCCCCAAACACAAAAAAAATAGCAAAAAAGAAAACAGTGTTTGGAAATTGAGCAGAGTAAATAGTATATTGACAAAGCCGACAAACTCATGTTTAACTTTATGATTTTTAGTTTTTTGAGAAGGTGTTGCTATGTAGTTCAGGCTGACCTGGAACTCACCATATAGCCAAGGCTGGCTTCAAACTTGTGGCAATCTTCCTGCCTGGGTTTACAGATGTGCGCCACCACACCTGGCTAAACTAACATTATTTAGAAGTATAAAATTTAGTGATAAGAAAGCTACCTGAGGGTTCTCCTTGGGTACATTTGCAAGATGGAGACCCATGCCTGGCTGCTTTGAGCAGTCTTGGTCAAATGGCTGGGTGTTTCCCATTGACAGAACCGTGAAGAGTACTCTAGCTCCCTCCCCATCCAGGGCTCACCTGCGTGGGACTTCTCTCTCGCAGCTCTCACCACCACAGCCTCACGTTGGCTTGTGAGTGAGCAGGAGATGTTGATGAAAACAGGGAAGGCCATCTGCTGGAGGGCAGTGAAGTTGGCCACCAGGACTGGGTAGGTGGCCACGCCGGGGGAGTGCCAGTGCTTAGAGACCACGAGCACCGGGGAGCTGGGGGAGACCTGCAGGGGAGAGAGTCTTAGTGGTGTGCAGTCTCCAGCACTACAGGGACTGTCCATAGCTGGACTTGATGCCAGTGGACACTTAGTCACTGACTTCCACTTCAGACATGATGAAGGATTAAGAGAAAATGATATGTGACACACACACATTTCATGGAGCCAGGTGTGGTGCACGCTTGTAATCCCAGCACTCGGGAGGCTGAGGCAGGAGGATTGCTCCAAGTATGAGGCCAGCCTGGGCTACACAGTGAGACCCTGTGTCAAGAAAAGAAATCCAAAATACAGAGTAAAATAAAGACTAGATAATAGGGAGAATTTTCAAATGGAAGGGAGATCAAGGGTTGGAAGGAGCAGGGAGGGGTGATGGGACAAAAAACTGCTATGTACCTGTACCAACTCCCTATGGTAAACAATCATGAAACAAAAATACCAGAAAAATTCTAAGGGTTCTTTTAGAGAGACTGGCAAACTCATAATCTAGATTTTTAATTCTGCCTGGCACTGTGAAGGGGATGGTTGTTTTTGTTTTTGTTTTTTTTGGTACTGGGGATCAAACAGGACCTTGCACTTGCAAGGCAGACAATGGAACCACTGAGCTAAAGCCCTGGTTCAAGTTTTTATCATTTAACAATTTCCTATGCTGGTTTTGATCAGGTCGCCCAGTAAATTCCTTTACTCTAGGGATGAAAATGGAACTCTTTTGCCCATCTCTGGGCTCCTGGCCTGTTTTGGTTTGGACAATAACATACCTCTAAGCTCTGGAGAACCCTGTCCACACCCAGGACTTGGAGCACCCCTGTGCCCCGTCTGTGGCCGAGTAGCAGCTCCGACTGGTTGATGTAGAAGGCTGGGGTGAAGGGAAGGAGGACTCTCTGCATCCCAGACTTGGTGCTGTTACTGTGCAGCGAGGCCCAGCCATAGACCGAGGTGTCGGCCACGCTGAGGGCCCGGCGCAGCTCCTTTGACTGCAGTCTAGCCTTGATCAGGCAGACGTACACCCCTGAAAAAAGGTGAGGCAGCAGGCGGTCCAGAGGCTGTACAGAGCAAACTGGACCAGGCTAGGCAGGAAGGGAAAAGCAAAAGCGTAAACCCAGTTAAGAGTCCTGAGTGTCAGCACACCTTCGGCCGGAACCGGGGGCACCACCACTCTTCCTGAGCACATTGGGGAGGGTGAGGTAACATGGCCCAGGCTGGCGGTGGGGCTGAGCACAGTGAAGACATGCTGAGTTTTCTTTTTGCAGGGCTTTACTCATGTTGGATGTGTGCTACCACCAAGCTACCTCCTCAGCTCTTAATCTACTTCATTTCTTTATGTTACTGAGGATGGAATGCAGGGGCACTGTTCCATCGAACTGCATCCTCAGCCCCTTAATTTTGAGTTGTCCAGACTGGTCACCCAGGCTGGCCTTGAACTCCCATACTCCTGCCCTGGTTCCTGAGCAACTGGAATTACAGGTGTGTGCTACAGTGCCTGGCTTCCCAGTCAATTACCTTTTTTTGAGACAAAGTCTCACCACATAGTTCAGGCTGGTCTTCAACTCTACATAGCCCAGGCTGGCCTCGAACTTGGTGGTGATCCTCCTGCCTCAGCCTCCTGAGTGCTGGGATTTCAGGTGTGCCACCATGCTTGCCAGTCATTACTTTTTTTTGGGGGGGGTACCAGGGATTGAACTTGGGTGCTTGAGAGCTTGCAAGGCAGGCCACCGAACCACTGAGCTAAATCCCCGGCCCCCAGTCATTACTTTTAAAGGTTGTTTCCTGGATGAAATCTTACTCTAGTGTCTAGGTTTGATGTAGATAATCCTCCTTTTTCTGCTGCCCTAGCATAACTACCCTGTGCATTTTATTTATTTATTTAGGTACCGGGGATCAAACTTGGGACCTTGCTCTTGTGAGGCAGATGGTGGAACCACTGAGCTAAATCCCTGGCCCACCATTTAAAAAAATTAATTAATTTTGTGCATTTTAAAAATTAATTAATTTATTTTTACCCTGTGCATTTTTTTTTCTCATTGAGTTTATTGGTACATTTTAGATATACAGTACAGTTACATTCATTATTGGGATCTTGTACCCTGTGCATTTGAAAGAGTTAAAATCTTTACTTTTTATTGGTGGTGGTATTGGGGGGATGAATCCAGGGCCTATATGCATGCTAGGCAAGCACTGTACTGCTGAGCCACACCCCCAGCCCAAGCTTTCCTTTTTTTTTGAGAAAGGGTCTTACTACATAATCCAGGGTAGCTGTGAACTTCCTGTGTAGATTGGCCTGGCTTCAAACTCGCAGTCCTCCTGCCTCAACCTCTCAAGTGCTGGGATTACAGGCGGGTACTACCACACCTGGCCACACTTTACCCTAACTCAAGTTTTTGGCCTCGTACTGGGCGTTACATTGGGTGCCTGACAATTTGCTGACTGAACTTTTAATGGTTGCTTCATTTCTGTACCATTCACATGGCCTGCCCTAGACGTCAGAGACTTCCATGATGTGGCAGTACTACCCTGTTTGCACTTTACATCTGGCATAAATCTTTTCACTTTATATCTTTATTTTTTTTGTAGTACTGGGAACTGAACTCAGGACCTTGAGTTTGCCAGGCAGGTGCAGCACCACTGAGCTACATCCTCAGCCGCATCACTTTATAGCTTAATGCTCTTTCTACTTTATCTGTCGGGAGCAATTCCCCATATTCTTTGGGGGAAATAATTTCACAGTTAAATTATGATTAGGCCTCCTAGTTCTGCTGCCTACAGGCCAGCTATGGCATGGAGACATTACTTGGTTTTTGCCTCTCTGCAGTTTAAACCTCAAAGGCCCAGTGATGCTGTGATGCTCCAGGGCAGGATTACACCAGCTGAAGACTCCATCCTGGGAGGAACAAAATCTTCATCTGCATAGTTCCTCATGGTTCTAGGGTTTTTGCTGCTGCTCTCTAAATCGTCTTGCATTTGTTACTCCCAGTGTACCAAATAAAGGTGTGGCAAACTTGGCTTTGCTGCCCAGAGCAGCACTGATCAGGCCCAAAGCTCAGCTGCTTCTCTGAGTCTCATTTTTCTTTCTTTTCTGTCTAATTAATTTGCCTTATGCTGTTGTGGCTCGAAGAAGACTAGGACTCACTGCAGAGGTTCTAGAAAAGTCTCCTTTTCCTTTTCCTAAAGTTATTGATAATATTTTTGCTTGGAATGTTCTTCAGTTCAAAAATAAACGTTTTGTCAGGCATAGTGGCACATGCTTGTAATTCCAGCAATTCCAGCCCTCTAGGCTGAGACAGGAGCGTAACTGTGAACGCAGTCTGAACAACTCAGTGAGACCCTTTCTCAAAAATTTTAAAAAGGCCAGGTGTGGTGGCATACACCTATAATCTCAGCATTCTGGAGGCTGAGGCAGGAAAATCACTTCAAGTTCAAGGCCAGCCTGAACTACAAAGCAAGACCCTGTCTCAAAAAGTGGGGGGCTGGGGTGTGGCTCTGGTAAGTGCTCACCTAGCATTCATGAGGCCCGGGTACAATCCCCAGAACCAACAAAAACAAATGAACAAGACACAGTCAAGACCCACACTGAGAAGATGGCGACTAACAAAAAAAAAAGCACATTATAATAGAAAAGCAGTTTTTTCAGGAGGCATGTGTTAAATTTGCTGAATGGATTGAACCAAGATGTGGATTGAGGGAGATTACGTGTTTATCAGATAAAACTGGAAGCAAAGATACAACCCAATAAGAAGGTGAAAATTGCACAGATAAAACAGAAGGGGAAACCATATTCAACTGGTGGACCCTACCTTTCTCCACGCTGAAGTCTGAGTGGATGTGGAAGATTTTACTTGCTGGAATGTTCAGCAGAGTATTACTGAACTGTATATGGCACAGCACAAGGGTCTCTGGAGAAAGGGCCTCTGTGATGGCCAAGGCCTGATTTGGGGTACAAGAGCCTGTGAAACAGAAAAGAGGTAAATAACTTTAAGAGTTTGTGAAGGCAGAAACTATACTATGGGGCACTTTGGTACAGAAAAACGTGCGTGCAAGCTGGGTGTGGCTGCACACACCTGTAATCTCAGCACTTTGGGAAGCTGAGACAGGAGGACTGCGCATCAGCCCAGCTTTGCCAACTGCAGTTTACCGAGATCCTGGCTCAGTGTAAAAACCAAAAAGAGTTGAGGCCGTTAACTGATTGTGAAGGCTCTGGATTCAATCCCTAGGGCCACCAAAAAGCCAAAAGTAACAAAAATACTTAATCCAGGCTGGGAGTGGAGCTCGGGTAGAGTGTATCTAGCATGTGCAAGGCTCTGTTCTATCCTCAGCAGCACCCCCAACACACACAAAGCCTCACAGAGCTCCATGACTTCTCATGATGGGGTCAGTACTGAAATATAAGAATCCACCAATAGTGGTGTACACCTGCAAGAGGCTGTGGCAGGAATATCACACATTCAAGGCCAGCCTGGGGAACAGAGCAAGGCTGACCCAAGAAAAATGAAGCCTATGTTACTAATCTGACATGGAGGTGAGTGAGTCCTTGCCTTTCAGGTTGACACCACTGCTGTCCGTAGTGATGAAGAATCTGAAGGCAGCTGCATTGGGGGTGTTGGTGATAGAAGTCTTGTGGTCGTATGTGAATGTCAACCTTGATGATGCCTTGACTGTCACCTGTGAACAAACCAAAGGAAAACTGTCTGTGTACTTAGCCCAGTTCCAGCCCTTCATAACTTATTTAACCAAAGCGATCTTTCTCACAAATACAACTTGACCTTTTAGTGATCACGTTATCTGAGAACCATAAAACATGTTTGCCTTGGAGAAGAATTTTTGTTTTGTTTTGGGACAGAGTCTCACTATGTAGTACAGGCTGGTCTTGAACTCACTATGTGTAGCTCACTGTGTAGCTGAGGCTGGCCTCAACCTTGCAGTGATCCTTCTGCCTCAGCCTGAGAAGAAAATGTTTCCTCTAGAAGGGAGTTTTTGTTCATATGTGCTTTCCTATTGAGTTAGGAGATCAGGGCTTGGCAAAACTGGCTGAGGAAGTGGGAGTGACCTGTTAATTACAGGATCCTGTACACATGCAAAGATCAGCCTCCAAAGCCCTATACCGGACCTCTGGAGAAGTCCAGCAGGTTTTCAATAGCAGAACCACCTCTCAGGACCCGGATGTAGAACTTCTCATGGGTTTCCTTGAGATTTAGACAGCATAAAAGGACACAATCACATCATGAAGGCTTTGTTATCATAACTTTTTTTTTGTTTTTGAGACAAGGTCTCACAGTATAGTTGAGACTGACCTGGAACTCACTATGTAGCCCACGCTGGTCTCCAACTCACAGCGATCCTCCTGCTTCAGCCTCCCGAGTGCTGGGATTACAGGTGTGCGCCACCACGCCCGGCCCATAACTTTATTTATTTATTTATGTAGGTACCAGGGATCAAACTCTGGACCTTTCACTTGCAAGGTAGGCAGTGGTACCACTAAGCTAAATCCTTGGCCCATAACTTTTATTTAAACAATTTACTTATTTGTTTTTGGTACTGGGGATCGAACTTGGGTCCTTGCGCTTGCAAGGCAGGTGGCAGAATCACTGAGCTAAATCCCTGGCTTAAACAATTTTATTTTTTAAAAAATTTTGTAGCAAAACATTTACCGGTACATTTTAGGCATCCATAACGCTCATCGCAGGGAATTTGCACCTGTACATGATACAGCTCCCCTGTTTGCCCATTCCCCCTGCTCTCATGCTCCCCTCCCTAGGTACAAAAGCTTTGTTTCCATTTCTTCTGTTTTCTGTTTTCTTGTCCCATCCTTCCTTTATTTCTCCCTCTCTCTCTCCTCCCTTGTTCCCCTTCCCATTTGAACACTTTCTTCCCATTTCCCAGTATCTATTATACATTTTAGTCCTTATTTCCACTTTCAGTGCCTCACACCAGAGCAACGATGCAGCGTTTAAACACGTCTGTCTGATTTATTTCACGCAGGAGTACGGTCTCAAGGTCCACCCACTTAGCTAGAAACGTCGGAAGCGCATCCCTCTTCATGGCAGAGCACTCCATTGTGTAGTTTTAAAAACACCACATCTCTATCCATTTGTCACTTGATGGGCATTTGGGCTGTTTCCAAGATTTAGCTATTACAGACTGCTACTATAAACCAGAGTGTGCTAGGATGGGTGTGTGGTAGGATGCTTTTAATTCTTTCGGGAACATACCAAGAAGGGGAATAGCTGGGTCAAATGGAAACTCTAGTTTAGTTTTTTGTTTTTTTTGTGGTACTGGGGATTGAACTCAGGTCCTTGCGCTTGTGAGGCAGGCCACCGAACTGCTGAGCTAAATCCTCGGCCGAGTTTTTTGTTTTGGTTCAGGGAATCGAACTCAGGACCTTGCACTTGCCAGCAGGCATGGCACTACTGAGCTACACTGCCAGCCCTGGTTTTAGTGTCGTGAGGAATCTCTGCACTGATTTCCACAGCGGTTGCACCAGTCTACACTGCTACCAACAGTGGAGTGGGGTTCATTTTTCCGCACTGTCCCTCCAGCATTTCTTATTGGTTGTTTTCTTGGGAGCAGCCATCCTTTCTGGAGTAAGATGGAATCAAAGCATTGTTTGCATTTCTCAAATGGCCAGTGATGTCGAACATTTCATTTATTTATTTGCTGTTTGTACTTCATCTGAGAAATAACTTTTCATTTCAGATCCCCATTTTTGGATCAAGTCTTTAAATTGGGGGTGTCTGATTTTTTTTTTGAGTTCTTTATATATTCTAGATAGTAGTCCTTTGATTGAATAGCTGGCAAAGATTTTTTTCCCATGCTGTGGTTGTCTCTTCACTCTGTTGGTGGTTTCTTTTGCTGTGCAAAAGATTTTTAATAAGAAGAGGTCCCAGTTCTTGATTCTTTGTAGTATTTTCCATGCAGTTTGGAGAGGCTGTCTTTCTTCCAGTGAAGGTGTTTTGACTCCTTTGTCAAACATAAGTGGCTAAGTGCATTTTTGGAGTTGTTTCTGCAACTTCTAGTCTGTTCCACTAATCCTTAGGTTTGTTCTTTTGCCAGTACCCTGTGTTTTTTTCCTGGTAGCTTGCTTGCTTTGTGGTACTGGGGATTGAACTCGGGAGCTTGTGCTTGCAAGGTAGGCAGCGGCACCACTGATCTAAATCCCTGGTCCTGGTAGCTTTTTAGTATTAATTTCAAGGAGGAGATTGTGATGCCCCCGTCTTGCCTTTGTTGCCCAGAATTGCCGTTGCTATTCTAGGTCTCTTCTGGTTCCAAATGAATTTTAGGAGTTTTTTCGAATTCTGTTTGAATTTTTTGTTGTTGTTGTAATCTTCTTTTTTTTTTTTTTGGTACCAGGGATCGAACTAAGAACCTCGCGCTTTCGAAGCAGGTGGTAGAACGACTGAGCTATCTCCCCGGTCCTGTTGTTGGAATCTTAATTGGGGTTGCATTAAATCTGTATAACAATTTTGGTAGTATGACCATTTCCACTGTTGCTGTCATAACTTTCTATGGTAGCCCTTGCTGTGTTTCCCAGACACAGTGTATACTTTTTATCTTTGCTTTCACCCTCTTTGGTCTACAGAGCCAGTTTCTCTCCTAATCTTCATTCTTGCTTTCTGGAATAAACTTTGCCACTGATTTCTGCTCGTTTTGTTCAATTCTTTGTCCAAGGTGAGAAGAACCTAAAATCCAATTCCAGAAAGAGAGGCGTGCTATCTAAAACCTGGTAATGTTTAGTTGGTGAGCCACTTTTTAGAAACAAGCTATCCAATAAGAGTATGACTTTTTATTTTAAATTTCCTTTGAAGCCATGCACAGTGGTATACTATAAGGCAACTCAGTGACCCTGTCTCA